TTTAGAGTTTCCATAGCATTATGATAATCAGCAATTCTATCTATCTACGTATTTTACACCTCTGCCACACTAGCACATCTACTTCATGAAAGTTCGGTCTGATTTACTCACAACTGCATTCCCAGAACCCATGACAGTGTCTGGGGCATCTGGGTGCTCAAAAGTGTGTGGTGAATGCATGATTCACCAAAATCCATCTGCCAGACTTCTGATTGTTAGTACGACACCACTTGCCCTGGGTTGTCTGTCAGTGTTTGGTGGTCATATACTTCATTTTTTAATTTAATTTTTTTCTGGCACCAGGGATCAAACTCAAAACCTTGTGCTTGCCAGGCAGGCACTTACGCCACTAAGCTATTCCCCCAGCCTGGTGGTCATATACTTCAGCCAGAAGAAAAGACCTGCAAATCCGAATATGAAATAACATACTATGACTCCTGTATGTCTCTATAACGTCCCATGATTACTTTCTTTTAGCATTAAGATAAAGTACCTAACCCAAAGCAAACACCTTGGTGTGCTCAACACATTACACAGCTGCTCTGTGATCTGCTTTCATGGGTGCTATACCAGGCCCTTCTGCCTTTCCTACCAAGGTTCTCATAATTAACTCCTAATTATAAGACAAATTTATCCAGTATTCAAATTAGTTTATTCAGCTGTTCTCCTGGCCCAAGCATAATAAACTATTCTATATTAATTGATGTGACAATTTTCAAAGGTATTCTCAGTGAATTTTAAGGATTGTTGAGCAAAAAAAAAAAAAAAAAAATGTATATTTGAGAATTTCAGAAGAGATTCTAGGCTGACCTCAAATCCACGTGATCCTCCTGACTCAACTCCCAAGTGCTGGTATTACAGATATGTGCCACCACACCCCGGGCAGTAGGTAACCTTAGAATAATTCTATGCTGTAAGTAACACATTACCTGATTTCGAAAGTGATAGGGTAATTTGGGTAAAACTCTTGAAAGCATAGGCATAGCCAAAGGCTTTCTGAACAGAACCTTAATCATGTATGAAATAACATCAAGAATCAACAAATAGGATCACATCAAATTAAAAAACTTCTGCACAAGAAAGGAAAGAACCAAGAGTAAAGAGATAACCTACAGAATGAAAATTATTTTTCTCCAGCTATTGCTCAGAGGACTAATACTTAGACTATATAAAAAACTCAAAACAACTACACATCCCAAAATAAAAGACCAAATCAAAAACTCAGCAACTGAAGTGAACAGACACTTCTCAGAAAAAGCACAAATGGCCAATAAGTACATGAAAAAATGTCCAACATCTCTGGCTACCTGAAAAATGTAAATTAAAACAGCACTGAGATTCTATCTTACTCCAGAAAGGGTTCTCATCAAGAAATCAAATAATGACAAAAGTTGATGAGGCCGCAAGAGAAAAAAAGAATCTTTCTACACTCTTGTTGGGAATGTAAACTAGTGTAACAGCTACAGAAACGAGTATAGAAATTCCTCAAAAAGGAAAACTTGAAGCTCTATCGGACCAGGCTATCCTCTTCCAGCTGTCTTCACAAAACAAGTGAAGGCGTCACGCTGCAGTGGTACACACATTGCCATGTTGTAGCAGCATGACTCTTGGAAGCAGGCGACTTGCCCATCAGCAGATGAAAGCACAAAGAGAATACAGCGTTTAGGGGCTGGTGAGATGGCTCAGTGGTCTAAAGCACCTACTTAGAACAAGCTTAGCAAAGCACAGGGACCGCGGTTCAATCCCCCAGCACCACATGCCAGCCAGCCCCGCCCCCTGGTGGGTGAGCTGGCCACACACACACACACATAAATAAATAATAATAATAAAAAAAAATTCTAAAAAAAAATAAAAAAATTAAAAAAAGAGAATATAGCGTTTAGACACAACAGATTACTACTCTGTCGTAAATTTGAGACATTTATTTGGAAAATGGATGCGCTCTGAGTCCATAATGCTAAGTGAAATAAATCAGACATAGGCTAAGTATCACGTGGTTGCTCTTATATGAGAAACCCAAACTACATATAATTTAAAGAGCAAAAGAAAAGATAGGAAAAAAAAAAAAAAAAGAGAAAAGATAGGGAATAGGAAAGGGAAATAGACTCTGGAAATATGAAGAGGGTCTAGCTATGAGGGAAAATGGAAGAGAGAGAAAGAGAAGGAAAAGATTAAGATATATCAACTCATCAGGATGAATGTATCTATTATGTATCACAAATAGAATTTTTTTTAAGTGACAGAAAAAAAATTATTTTATTTATTTTTTTGGTGGTACCAGGGATTGAACTCAGGACCTTGCGTTTTCCACTGAGCTATCCCCCTTGCCCCTAGGAAAAAAAAATTTAAATGACAAAATAATAAACTTAGAAAATAAATCATATACCTGCCAGTAGGCACACAAGCCTCCTTTGATATCTTAATTTGTTTTATCATTTTAAAAAATCCCCAAAGGTTATGGCGGCACATGTCTGTGATCCCAGCTCCTTGGGAGACTGAGGCAGGAGGACTGCAATTTCAAACCCAAAGTGCAGAATTTAACAAGACATGGTCTCAAGGGGTTCAGCTCAGGGTAGTACCTTTGCCTAGCATTCATTGGCCCTGAGTCCAATCGTTAACACCACCACCCATCCCCTCACACCCACAAACTTCCCAAATTTAAGACTAAAGTATCTGCAGTCTGAAATACCACTTTTCACTTATTTTAGCCCAACATACATTAAAAAGGATCCAGAAAGTTGGGAGTAATAATAAATTTGAAGTTTCACTGTGTACCATGCAGGAAGGGCTTCCTTCTGTGGCAGAGGTAATAAATTGACTGTCGCTGGAGGCTTCCTATATTGTGGTTTTCAGAGAAGATAAAGATCAAAAACCTTGTCCACTTAATTTCTTCAGAACCAGAGCCTCATGGAATCTGACTACATAGCAAAAGCGAACATCTCTCCTTAGTTTTCAGGACATCATAAATGGGAACGCTAGAACTAAGGTTTACCTTGTTCTCTAGGAAAAGATCAGTGTACGCTCCATCAGTGCTTTTGAAAGAGCCTCTGCCTCACAAGGATGGAGGAGGAATGGGAGCAGCCTCTGCTGGGAAAGGGGCGCTCAGGAGGAAGGGGATTTTCAGGAAAGAAGCCAGTGCGGATGAAAATGAGAGGGGAAGGCCCTGCTGTGCCGCTGCAGGACAAATACCTCATACATACCCGGAAAGCATCTACACAGATTATTATCATATCTTTGCCAAAAATACACTGTGACACAGTGCATGCTGTCTAAAAGTCATCTTATCACATTTCTGAATCACAGTGTTCTTGGCATATTGCAAAAGTTATCGGCACCCAGCACAGATCCCATTCCCAGTCTTTGAATTCAAATGAACTGAACATAGAACTCCAGGAACCTAAAAACTGTATTTTACTTATTTTAGCCCCATACAGATAAGGTGACTGGGAAAGCTGTGAATAATGAATTTGGAGATACGCTATACATCATGCAGAATTTTTTAAAAATTTTCTTTCTTATAGAAAAAATGTAAATGTTTACATGCTTAAACATGTAACAAAAGCAAAACTAAAAAGGAAGGGATCAAGAAATGGATAGAGTGGTCCATTGACCCAGCATTCAGGAGGCTGAAGCAGGAGGGTCACTTACAGTTCAAGGCCAGCCTGGGCGACAAAGCAAGTTCAAGGCCACTCTGAACAGTATTACAGTGAACCCTTGCCTCAAAAAAAAAAAAAAAAAAAAAAAAAGGAAAGAAATAAGGGAAAGGGTGTGGAACAGACAGGGAAGGAAAAGGGGGGTGAAAAAAGGAATTAAGATGTATTGCAAACATGTACCAATTACAAAACCTTTTCTTTCTTTTTTTTTTTTTTTTTCGGAACCGGGGATTGAAACAAAACCTTTTCTTAAAACTTTTTTGTCATAATGAGTAATGTTACAAGTTAATGTAAGAACTAGAGAACTGTAGACGAGGAAGGCAGACTCTGAGATCCCTTATTATTCAATACTGTAGAGAAAACTGGGTAGCGGGACTAATTTATTCATCACCTTAATTTATGTATGCTGTGAGTAATAAAGGCAGCTGTACTGTACTGACTCCTAGAGATCACACCTGTCTGCTGTTGGGTTCATCAGGCTTGCGAAATCCTACTACAGATTAGCCAGTCCTACTCACCCCCGGTCAGTTACTAACTCATAGTAGCTCAGTTATGGACACAGGGACAGTATAACCCAGGCTAGAGTTACCGCTAGCTTGCCATATAGCGTGGCATCACTAATTATGAAAAGCGTGCTTCTACATTAGAGTGCTCAGATCGCTGCAAAAGCACAAGCCTAAAGGCAAGTTAGCAATATTACAGAGTAAGTTCTGTATAAGTGCGACAGTAAAGGATGAGATTGCGCTGAAAGTTGGGTTTGGCTTTGTAATTAGAACATAACTCTATACTCCAAGCACTCTTTTCCAGCTCCTAATCTGTACCAGACCATGGCCTATCATCCTTGAGATGTCCACGCTTGGAGGACATCAGCACCTGTGGCAGCGAGGCAAACGTCCGAGGATACCTGCAAAACGACCATAACCAAAGCGGCATCTCCAGCCGAACAGGTCCTCTCTTGCTTGGGAAACCATTCATCCCCGACTCCCTGACACAGAACCAGGGCACATCTGTAACGTGACGGGGGCTGGGCTAACGCAGAGTTCTTTCTCCAGCTCGCGGATTCCGCCTCCTCGCCGAGTGGCAGGGCGGTGCAGGAGAACAGCTCCGGGCTTGACACCCTTCAAAAGCCCACGCCCGCGCCCTCCGGCCGCCTCTCCAGCTCCTCGGCCGCGGCGGCCCAGCCGGCGGTGCACTGCGGAGCGCGAGGCGCGAAAGGGGCTGCGCAGGCCCGGCCGCGGGGCGTCCCTCTGGACCGGTCCCCGCTGCCCGCCGCCCCGCACAACGACGCCAGGGCCGCCCGCCCGCCCCGGCTCGGCCCTGCCCGACCCGGCCCGGTCTGGCCCTGACCTGTTCTGTGTTGCCCGGCGGTCCCTTCGCGCAGCAGGCAGCGGCGGCCGACTGTCCCGGCCCGCTGTCACCGACGCCCCCAGGCGAGCGGGCTGGCGGATCTGTGACTCAGCGCCCCGCCCCACCCCTCCCCTTCCAGCCTCCTCGGGCTGTTCCGCCCCTCAAGCCCCGCCCCGCCCCTCCAGCCTCCTCCCTTCCCGCCCCTCACCGCCCCGCCTCACGCACAGCCAGGCCCCGCCCCTTCCAGCCTCCTCGCGCTTTTCGCCCCTCAAGCCCCGCCCCTCTCCTCCAGCCTCCTCCTTTTCCCGCCCCTTCCCGCCCCGCCTGACGCACAGCCAGGCCCCGCCCTTCCAGTCTCCTCCCACTGCTCCGCCCCCAAGCCCCGCACTTTCCACAGCCCCGCCCACCTTCCGCGTGCGCCGGCGCTCTCCTAGCTCCGCCCCGCTGCTACTCCGCCCCTCGACTGCTCCCCCTGGCGGCCGCCCCTCGGCCGCGAATTCAGGTCGCCGCGAGTGACAGCTGGACCTGGAGACTGAGGCTCCTCTGCGCCCCGCGCCTCGCGTCGTGACCTCCGCCACGTGCTTGAGCTCTTCCCGACGTGCTGCCCCTCCTAGGAGCCAGTGTCTCCGCTGCCCGGCCGTCCCGCCATCCGCCACGCGGCTCCCAGCCTAGAAAAAGGTCCGGAGCCCCGCGGAGCAGCGCGGTCGCGCTCCAGCCCCGGTCGGCCGCCAGGTCCCTCGGCGCCGGTCCCTGCCCGCTTCTCTCCGCCCCGCCTGCCGCAGAGGAAACCCTCTCTCTCCCGACAGCTTTGGGAATTAAAAACTGAAGATCGACAAAAAACCAGATCAGGGCAAGGCTGGGAAAACCCGTCGGAAGCTTTCCGGAGCCTCCACGGTGGCCCGTTGTAGAGGCCAGAGCCCCATGCTCGGCTGTCTTTGCCAGGGTTGCCCTGCGGTCTACCTCGTGGAATCCAGAGCGAGACTGTCACGATGATGCGTAGATGGCAGAGAAAAACATTGTTTTAAATTTTTCACAAGATACAGTTTCTCATTCCTCTTTTTTTTTTAAATCCTGATTAAAAATATGCAAAACAAAAATTTACGATTTCAAGCATTTTTTAAGTCTGCGGTTCAAAGGCATCAAGTATATTTACATTGTTCTGAAATCACCATCTATCTCCAGAACGTTTCATCTTCCCAAACGGTACCCATTAAACAATAACTCATTCTTAGCCCAACCGTCACCCTTCTACTTTCTGCCGCTGTAATTTTACGACTCCACCCCCTACCTTATATGAAAGGAATCACATTATCTGACCCTTTGATTGGCTTATTTCACCTAGTTTGACGCCCTCGAGGTTTATCCATGTAGCATGCGTTTCAATACAGCACATTTTGCTTACGCAGAGCCCTTCCATGGACATTTGCGTTGTTTCTATTATGAGCACGTATTATGAGCACGTATATGGAATACCTATTTAAGCCTGCTTTCGACTTTTTGGGCTGTATATTCAGAGGTAGTGAGGTTGGGTCCAATGGTAATTTTGTGCATTTATTTTTTTTTTAAACTATTACATTGCTGTCCTCCTTTACTCTTTGAAAAAAGTGAATGCTATGGGGAGAAAATTCTGTATTAAAATATCTGGAATTTGTTGAAACTTTTAGCAAATGCTTCATTTTTTTTCCTTACCCCAAGAGAGTAATTAACATAGCAAATCTATTGCCTTTGTTTTTAAAACTACTACTTTATTACCCAAAATGATAACAATAACCCATATATTCAGCTAACTGCAAGTTTGTTTTCTGTGGCTATACTTGCCTAATGTTATTTGGAGTCAAGTATGCCAAATGAAATAAAAATAAATAAAAATCAAGCAGTTCATTTTTAGAATAACATTTGGGTGCCTTAATATACATCCAACTCAAGCTAAGCGTTTTTTCTTTTACTAAAAGAGCCTATTTTAAAATCATCTGAGCCAGGTGTGGTGGCGCACACCTGTAATCCCAGCACTTGAAAGGCTGAGGCAGGAGGATCATGGTGAATTTGAGGCCAGCCTGGGCTCCACATAGTGACTTCAAGGCCAGTTTGAGCTACATAGAGAGACCCTGTCTCAAAAAATAAAATAAAAGTTAATAAGTTAATTTGATTTCTGAATCTCAGAGGTGAGTCCTTTAGCTAGTACACTAAAATTTAAGAATAACTACCCTAAGGACATTGCACAGATTCCAGGTTATCAAAGGCAAAATAATATTCTTTCACTGAATAGCAAAAGCTGATCAACCAAAACTGACTGGTGCTTTTGTGATGCACCAGGCCTTGTGCTGCATGTTTGGGATTCAGCCTGATCCACCGATACCCAGCTCCCTGCCCTAAGTATGGAGGCGGCATGCTAGCTGGAGTGCTGTGCCAAGCAGCACGCATACAATAAACCAGGTAACCAGGTGTGGGGGGCTTAGTGGAGGAACTAAACCAGATGAGAAGCACAAATGTCCTAGGTGTTCATTGCACGTGGTGAATTAATCTCCCCCCTCTGCAGCAGGAATGGTACGTTAGACACAGTCCTGGAGAGAACTGAGGAGCTCCACACACTTTTTTACTGTCTGTGGTTTTAAGGAGTCTAGGCGGGGTGTAAAGGTGGCGGGGAGGGCCTTCCTGGGGATGGGATATTTTCCTGAGACATGAGTGATGAGACAGAAGGAGCCATACGAAGATCTGAGATGTCCTTCTGGCAGGAGAAACTGCAGGTACCAAGCCCTGAAATGAACAGCAATGTGGTCAGTTTCAGCAAAGAGGCCATTGTGAGCAAGCAAGCCAGTACAGTATCATGAGGTGAGATTCCACAGCAAACAGCGGTGAGGATCGTTCAGGCCCTGTTGGACTATGGCAGAGAGACTGAATTTATTATAAGTCACTGTGTTGATACATGATAAATATCCCCGATTAAAGAAACTGAAATGAAAGGAATCAAAAGAGATCATTGTGGGTGGAACTGACTCGATAGCTATAAGGGTAAAATCTGCATATGTAGTATTAAAACTAAAATACACTGCCCTCCCTCCCAGATAATCCACAATAAGCCAATACACAGAATCTCTAAATACCTACACATTTTGATTGATCTTATTGAGCAAAACTACTTAGGTGTGCTATCTTTTTTGGTCTGCTCTGTCAGGATGTCCTACATCTGAACTTCCACCAGCTGGGCAAGGCTCATCCCCAAAGCTAAAGCACCTCCTCCCACTGGCTTCCTCTTGCAGTGTGCGTATGTGTCGCAGCCATAAGCTCCTCTTGGTCACGGCAAGCTGATGACAGAAGCAAGCTGCTGAAACTAGTCAAAGCGGCCTTCCTTGTGGAGTCAGTGAGCTGCTAATCCTGGAGTGACGAGGGGCCCAGATCTAGGAACAGGCGCATAGATAAAATAATACTTTCTTATTCCTATTATTAAGGAAGGCCTAGTCCAACAACTTAGTGGATTTAAGTTTGACATAAATTTGCTCCTAAAATTCCAGGAAGAGGCATGATGTGAAAATATTATTAGTAATTCATCAAAATGCTGTTTAAACCTGACAGAGTGGAGACAGGCAAAGGTGAGGCCCGGGATGGGTGGACAGGCTGTAGAGGACAGTCCTGTCACAGAGTCACAGAGAAGGGAGGAGTCCAGGGAAGTTTTGACAGGTGGACTTATCCTAGGGCAGAGGCTATTTGGTTCCACTTAGGAATACAGTCTGGTTGGCAAGAATACAGACAATTTAGCCTGGCATGGTGGCACATGCCTGTAATCCCAGCATTTGGGAAGCTGAGGCAGGAGGATGGTTTCAAGTTCAAGACCAGCCTGGGCTTGAAAGTGAGCTCAAGGCCAGCCCGAAAAAAAAAAAAAAAAAAAAAAAAAAAAAAAAAAAGAAGATTAACGACAATTCCTGTTTTGTTTTTCCTGTGAGGAAATACCTGAGCTCTAAAAAACAAGAAGACTCTCATTTGTCTCTTCGGGGTTGTCAGACATTGATACAGTGTTGCTTAAGCATTCCTTGTGAAAGCTTGAGCTGCCCTAACAGAAAACAGGAAAATCCCATTCAGCATTTAAAAACAAACAAACCAATTTACCTTAATATTCAAATGCCTAGTTAAAGTGAAGTATTGGGGGGAAATCCTCACTCACCTATGTACCCGTATCATACTTACAATTTCCACGAAGAAACAAGAAAGAAAGAAGTATTAGAGGATCCAGAAGCATGGAAGGAAATGAGAAGCAGCAATGGAAATACTGAAATACTGAATTTTATAGTAAATAGTTATTTCAACCTGGCCTTATGTTAAGATCTTTTTTCTTTTCTTTTCTTTCTTTCTTTTTTTTTTTTTTTTTTCAGTATTGGGGATTGAATTCAGGACCCTGCGTTTGCCAGGCAAGCACTGGTTCTACTGAGCCATCTCCCCGGCGATCTTTTCTTTCTTAGAAGGAAAAACTATCTCCCCAGAAACAGAACCAAAATTCTCTACTTGAATAAATCAATACTGTACTGTCAAAAATAATTTCTAAACCGTCTAGTTTCTTTTCCTGGTTGTTCGCATTAATGAAGCAAGGAAATGGAGCTCATCTCTTCCTTCTCCGAATAAGCCGGTTGGTTATATTTAGCACGTATCACACTGAGGATTCAGGGTAGTCACTATTATTATCTTTGGCTTCTAACTGAGGAATCTGAAGCTCCACGATAACTTGAGCCAGGTGTAGCGGTGCGTGCCTGCAACCCTAGCACTGGGGAGGCTGAGGCAGAGTGATTAATGGAGAGTTTGACGCCAGGGCTGTACAATGAGTTCAAGGCCAACCTGAACTACACAGTGAGACTCTTACCAAAACAAAAGAATACGTGAAACTTGCCTAATGTATTCTACACTTTTCACTTTCCCACCTTAGTTATTTCTACACTACTTTTTGTTATCCTTTTATACACTCAGGAAACCATCAGGATAATTCTTCACGGGATGGCATGCCCACCCCCTGACACCCATGTCCCCACCCCTGTACTGAGGATTAAACCTTGGGCCATAATGAGGATTAAACCTACGCCTAGAATGTG